TTCTTTTCTTCTTGATTAACTCTTAAACCCTCTACCACAAAAAGACATATGCATCAAGGCCTGGGCTCAAAATCTTCACACATTCTCAGCTGAATACGCGGAAATACATTAACAAAAAAATTAACATATTTGAAAAAATCCATAACTGTGACTATTTTATTCCAATGTAAAGAGGTAAGGCTTGCTCTCAAGCTGATTCAGAATTTCAGTGGGGGAAATTTGTTTTTAAGGTCACTATGACTCACTTAAGGAAGACTTCTTCCATGGTAGTAATTGAAGCATCAATGCTGACAATGCCCAGCATTTTTTGTTTCTTTTCCAGATTGGTAAACAGATCTTCAAACCTGGAAGGAGAAGAGGAAGAAAAAAAGGAAGTACTAGCACTAGTCTAGGTACATTTTTTTCTCTTTTTAGTTCATTTTCTAGTGAATAGAATGTTTAAAAATATGAACACTTACTATTCTTTCTTTAACTTTCCTATTGTTCCCTTAAATTTTTTATTCTGGCAAAATATATAAAACATTAAATTTACCACATCATCGCTGTAAGTGTACAGTTGAAACACACTCCCAGTGTCATGTGCCCATCGCCACTATCCACTTCTGGAACTTTCTTTACAACCCCAATCTAAAACTCTGCAAGAATTCTCTATGCTTCCCTTCCCTCGATTTCACTTTCACTTTCTGTCTCTATGAATCTGCCTATTCTATGTGCCTCATATAAGTTGGAATCATACAATATTTGTCTTTTTTGTGCCTGGCTTATTTCACTTAGCGTAAGTCTTTCCAGGTTCATCCATGTTGTAGCATGTACCAGAAGTTAATCCCTTTTTAAGGTTGAATAATATTCATCGTGTGCCTATACATGTTGCTTTTCCACTCATTCAATGGACAATTTGGGTTTTGTGAAAATTGCTGCTATGAACATTAGTGTACAAACATGTGTTTGAATTTCCGCTTTCAATCACTTTGGGTATATTCCTAGAAGCAGAATTGCTGGATCATACAGTAATTCTACGTTTAACTTTTCGAGGAACCTCCATACTGTTCCACAGAAGACATAACATTTCACATCCCTGATGGCAATGTGCAGGGTTCCAATCTCTCCACACGCTTACCAGCATTTTTTTTTTGATTTGCTCTTCCCTAATGAGTAGTGACGTTGAACATCTTTTCATGTATTTATTGGCAATCCGTACATCTTTAGAGAAATTTCTATTCAGGTCTTTTGCCTATTTTTAAAAATTAAATTTATTGGGGTGACATTAATAAAATTACGTACGTTTCAAGTGTACGATTCAATAATATATCATTGTATATTGCATGGTGTGTTCACCACCCAAAGTCACATCTCCTTGCATCATCGTATACTTGACCCCCTTCCCCCTTCCTTAATTACCTCCCCATCTCTCCCCGTTCTCTCTGCTCACCACTAAACTGTTGTCTGTGTCTGAGTTTTTGTCTTGTTTGTTGCTCTCAGTTTTATATCTCATTTTTGAATTAGGTTGTTTGTTAGATACATTTTCAATATTGTTTTGTCCCATAATAATTTCTGGTCAGCCATGGGAGAAATTTAGTAGATCATTCTTCAGTGTAATGCTTATTGTGAAGCAAATGCAAGTAAGAGATATTTACCTTAGCAAATTTCTCCCCACTGTAACCTGATCTTTGATATAAATGTTTATTCTTCTAAAGAATTATCACTTTATTTTCTACAACTGTTAAGGACTAGAGCTAGCTGATCTTTGATATAAATGTTTATTCTTCTAAAGAATTATCACTTTATTTTCTACAACTGTTAAGGACTAGAGCTAGCTGATAAAAGCTAATTTATCCACATGTGGTTCCTACATCAAATGAAAAAGAGTTCTCAAAGTACAGGAGGTATAAATCACTAAATGACAGAAAATGGAGTTACTGAAGCAGAAGCTGGGAATTAAGAAAGATCTAATCACACACAATGCAATATACAGGTTGTATTACTGAACTGTACACTTGAAACCTATAAATATTATTAACCAATGTCACTCCAATAAATTTAAAAAATTAGAAAAAAAAACGAGTTAAAAAAAGATTTAATTAAATAGGTGAACTGTGTGGAAGTTTTGCTAATTGTGGTGCAGTTACATCAAGGATTCTAAAAAACAGTTTTACCAGGGAGAATTAATATTGTTTTATGTTGAAAAGATCTCCAGAAACACATCACTTCTTAAACGCACCTCCATTCCCAGTAAGGGACTATTAAATCCACATGTATGATTACCCTCAGAGATGGTGGACTCAGAACTCATTTTCTAAATTTCCTCCATATCTGAGGCTGAATTCCATTTCCACCTAACTTCACCTTGTTGTGATTATTGGTTCTACTCTGACTCCTAGGTTCAATCTGACCCCTCTTTTTATGACAACTCTTCACATATTTTATGGTCATTTTCCTCTTCCTCTTGAATTTCAGTGGAATCTGTGCTGTGTATGTTTTTCATTTATCTTCAAGAGTCCATATATTCTGTTAAGGACTATTCTATATTATTATAT